GGTTTACAGAGTCAGAGTCAGCCTGTTGCCCCCAACAATCTGGGTCCTCATTTTACCCACCTCGGAAGGATGGAAGGTTGAGTCAACCTTGAACCTGGTGAGATTTGAACTGCTGAACTGCAGCTAGAAGTCAGTGTACTGCACTCTAACCACTGCGCCACCTCGGCTCCAGTGGAACAGCTTGCTTTCCAAAATCCCAAAGGTGTTTTTTCAATAGGCAACTGGACTTTCTGGTTTTTCTTTGAAGGCGTTTCGCTTTTCATCTAATAAGCTTCTTTAGCTCCCTCTTTGGATGAGAAGCAAAACGTCTTCAAAGGAAAAACCAGAAAGTCCAATTGTCTCTTGAAAAAGCACCTTTGGGACCACTATGACCTGCATGACTGAGTATCTCCATAGACACTTGCCTTCAAAAGTTGTGGGTGTTTCATCACTGGAGGCTTTTAAGAACAGATTGAATAACCACTTTTCTGGAGTGGTATAGCATCTCCCGCTTGAGCAGGGGGTTGGACTAGAAGGCCTCCAAGGTCCCGTCCAACTTGGTTATTCTGTTAAAATATGTACTGTATGACCCTTGTTCTTCTTATATATCTTCTGAAGCTTTGTTAACTCGTATAACCAGATTGCTTTTGGCAACGTAACATGAGAACTGCCAACCTTTCAGCCGTGCTATTTTTCAGTTGCAGGGGATTCCGTGGATAAAAAGTAGGCACTCTCAGATCACTCATTTTTCTTTCTCTCAGGCCAGCAGATATCTTTTTTGATGAATTAGGCTTATAGGGACCATAGACACAGAAAGTATGAGAGAATATAAAAGACATTAGGATAACATATATTGAGGATTAACAATTACTGAATAGCCCTTCAGGCATGTTCTCTAATATTTGTTTGGGGGATGGGGGAACATGGTTTAAAATGTTCTTGCTTTATGTTTTGCATCCATCGTAAAGTTCATTAGTTTGAGTGGTGCAGTGGCCTAGAGGTGGAGCTCTCACCTCACAATTAGGAGGTTGTGAGTTCAATCCTAGGTAGAGGCAGATATTTCTCTCTCTGGGTACAATGAGAATATATCTGCTGAACAAAGCTCTGTGTTGGCAACAGGAAGGGCCAAGGGTGGGTTCCGGCTGCTGCTATTGCCGGTTTGCTCAGGGATGCGCTTTGCGCGCATGTGCAGTACTAAATAAATGTGCAAAAAAAGTACAAAAAACAAGATGGTGCCGCCTATAGAACCAGTTGGGGGGGTCTGGCAGGCCGAGTTACTACCTACTCGACTGAACCAGTCCAAACTGGGAGAAACCCTCTGCATCTGGCCAGTAAATATTCAGGTCCAGTCAGTTGTCCAGACTCAACCCCACAAAAGATTATGGGGGTCATTAAAAGAAGACAATAAAGTTCATTAATTTTCCTCTTTCCTAATTTATGCCAGTAGATTGTATTTCTTACCTTAATGGCCTGAGAGTCCGCAAAAGCCTTAAAACCCTTAGCATTCCAAGGATTTTTGTTCCACTATCAGAAACCATTGAAACCAGGATGTCAGCCATAGAGATGAGGACCAATACCCCATCCAGCACATTCCAACTGCTTTGCAAGTAGGCCTTCTCTCCGAAGCACAAGCCCAGAGCCACCACCTGCCAAGATTGCAAATTGCAACAGAATATGACTAATTTAGTCACCACGCCATTGGTGTGTTTATAATGCATGATTTACACATACGTGATTGCAAATGCATTGACTTTCCAGTTATAGAAACATAACTAAGCAGGTTCTACAAAGTGTTATGGTGTAAGGTTCATAAAAATAACTCTGCAAGAAACATTCCAGATTGTCCCTTTTACACTGAGGTATTTTTAATGCAATTCAAAACCTAACTGCCATATCTACCATGAGGTGTGGCAATTTCATAAAAGAATGGCACACATGATTATTTTTGTCAGTAACTACAGAGCGGAGCACGAAGGATGTAATGACCATATATTATCCTAGACGTGAAACTTCAGAATAGAGGTCACAAACAGGCGTAAATCTTAAACATTAAATACTTGTTAGTTCATTTGTTTTTGTATATGCATGTATGTATATGTGTTTATATATGCATACAGGCAAACACACACACACACACACTTTTGCTGTTTGCTGATTTTTTTGTTCTCCTTAGAGTCTGTTGAAAGAAGAATTAGGGTTTTTTAAAAAAAATTCTCAAGGAATTAAAAAAATATGAACAAAGCACTTTAGAGAATGTAACCCTCTGGTCTTATCTTAAGCAAGCTAAATTTAAATGGGAAGTTTCTCAAAAAGAACATAGTACATAAAAACCGAGACACTGAAAACAAGCCCTGAAATAAGCATAATCTACATAAAATGCATGCACCGTACTAAAATGTTGTGGAGAATCTGAATTCAGTTTTTACAAGTATATGCTATGGATGGTGGTAGTCTATTATGAATGCCATAGACTTGCTTCTTACAACTCCTTTCCTCAACACGTGTCTAATTTAGAATAACATTTTATGCTCTTCATTTTCGAATGAAATGATAATAATATAATTCAAATTCTCTGGGCAAGTAATTTCCTTATATAAATCTACCATAACATCATTTACCCTGTTGGTATCAAAGTGGTGTAGATGTAGAAATGATGATACTACGATGAGGCACTTTATACAAGAGTATATGTTTTGATTTTCTTTCCATAATGTTCGACACCTTTAAGGTGTCCGACACCTTTAAACAGCAGTTTAATTTTAGGCATGTGCTTAAATTGTGGAAAGAATAAGGAATCTATACACTTTGGATGAACGAAAAAGCATTTTCTCATTGGAATATCTATTCGCATTCCCTCATATGCAGAATAATATACAATCAATGCAAACATTAAAATCACAGAAGTCATTAACCTTATTTTAAAACAAACTGCAGTTTGCCAGTAAAAATATGAGTCTAGCACCTAACCATAGGAATATGGGTCTAGCACTTATGGATGCTTATGGTCAGTATGGAGTGGTGTGGTGGCCTAGAGGTGAAACTCTCACCTCACAATCAGGAGGCTGTGGGTTCGATCCTAGGTAGGGGCAAATATTTCTCTCTCTGAGCACAGTGAGAATATATCTGCTGAACAAAACTCTGTCTTGGCAACAGGAAGGGCAGCCAGCCAGTAAACACTTTGCTATCTCCATTCAGTTGCCCAGACTCCACCCCACAAGGGATTATGAGGTTGTTAAAAGATGATGATGACTCATGGATACTTATGAGTTTCGAGCACACACAGAACTTTACATGGATCTGGGAAAATTCATGTCCATGCTGATATACAATGTGGGTAGATGGAATAACTTCAGTGATGGTGAAGTTACATAATGTGATGATTGTTGATGATCAGAAGATGAATTATGCTGGATTATTTACCTTGATGGTCATTTCAGCCAAGAACACTGCTGTGAAAATATAGTTGGAGAGAGTGAGGAAAATCCGTTCCTGTTGAAAGAGAGAGGGAGGGAGAGAGGAGAGAGATGGGATTTAAAAGTCTTACTTATCAAGCTTTTCAAGAAACAACACCCAAATAAATGCAAGATCAGACTTTTCCTTTTCTAATCCTTTATCTCTCTTAGCACCCTGGACAGCTGCCAAATATTGGGCTGAGATGGAGATCTTATTTTTATAATATTCTGCCTTGCTCCTGTCATGACTTGTGATGTCATTCTAGTTGTCCCAAAAATTCAGCATAAATAGAGGGACATGCGAGAAAGGGGAAGGCATAAACACAATATCGTACTTTCTTAATCTTACAGGGTGGGCAGAAGCAACTCTTGGAAACTTAAGCCTTATATGTTCTATATATCTAGGCTTTACCCTCTTTTTTGTCTAGGCCAAAGCACTTGCTCTGTCAATGAACTACAGGTTCTTCCCCTGTGAAAACGAATGTCCAGTATTTTTGTCTACACACAATTCTGTGTCCTCAATACAGGTAGCCCTCAACTTATGGCTACAATCAGGACCACAACTTCTGATGCTAAGTGATGCAATTGTTAAGTGAGTTACAACTGATTTTGCAATCTTTTTTCTACAGTTAAGCATATCACAGCAATATTTTACATGAATCATGAGGTCATTAAGTCCATCTGGCTTCTTTCATTGACTTTGCTTGTCAATGAAGGAAGATTGTAAATAGTGGTCGTTTGACTCCTCGATACTGCAACCATTCTAAATACAAGCCAGTTGCAAAGCACCTGAATTTTATCACCTAACTTTGGGGGTTCTGCAATGGTCATAAGTGTGAGGACCGGTCATAACTCACTCTTTTCAGTACATAAGTTTGAATGGTTATAAAACAAAAGATTGTTAAGTCAAGGACTACCTGTATAACAGCTATTTTGCTGTAGCTGTTGTGAGCCGTGCTGTCTCTTGTGCATACTGTGTGGGCCAAGAAGGATCATAATGATTTCCAGATTCACATTAATTAAGATGCACCAGTACCGTTCTTTCAGCTAAAGTAAAATGTATTTTCTACCTTTATTTAAAAGCAGTGGGTGGTTCAGAAATAGAACTGTAGTGAGAATTCTTGCCAATGTTGCTCCTTTCATCAGTAAATAAAAGAACAATAGTGCTACATTAATTTACAAACTGCAAGGGAATTATACAACTGAAGCAAAAATATAAGCAGATGCAATGTGGGTTTCAAAACAATTATAAATCCAGTTAGCCAGTTCTGAACAGGCAGTCAAATTCTTATTTATTCCAGTAACCTACCTTAAGTGAACAAAACCTCATTCTTTTTCTATAACTGCCTGTCACCTTGAACTAAGTTTTATATTTCCCTCTTAGTTGCCTCAGTATTAGTGGGTGATTAGCTCCACTCAAGATTTTAGTATTTCAGGAGGAAGACGGTGCTAAAAGCTATTTATGGCACCAGAAACAGCTTGATTGTACAGGTGGTAAGCCTCCAGTTAGTATAACTTTTATGTTATACATCACTATAAACATGCAAGATGTACTATAATACATCTACCAAATTTATTTTCATAATATAGTCTCTCTTGTTAGTCTTCCCATTTTACTTAAACGGAGAGGCAAGAACACCACAATAAAAAACAGCCATAGTTCATCCCAAAGATAATTGATAATTCTCACAAATTCCTGTTGGACCTATGGATACTGTAGTCCATGATGTCTGGATGGCACAAGATTGACTATCTTAGCCAAAATTATTAGCTATTTTATAAGCCTCTGCACCACACTATTATGGGTAAATTGAAATGGCTCTAACAACAAAAATAAACAAAAGTAGTTAAAGCAATGCTTCCTAATAGTGTTGCTTCAAAAAATGATCCTTTAGATCAATATTTCTCAAACTTGGTAACTTAAGATATGTGGATTTCAACTCCCAGAATTCTCCAGTTATGTGATCCAGTCATTTGCCTGGAAACTGGGGGTTGGATTAGAAGACCTCCAAGGTCCCTTCCAACTCTGTTATTCTGTTAGAACTGGAAAATTCAGTTGCTAAGGTAGGAAGGCATGTTTTTAGGAATCAATGAAACACCATTCTTTCTGCAATGAATTGTCTATAGTAGGACAGACAACAGTACGAGGCAACAGTAAAGGATTCAAGATTCTGAATGCATACATCTTTATTCAAAAAAAAACAAGTCCCATTCATTGCAAGAAGCCTTGCTCTTAAGCAAGCGAGCATAACATTTTATTTCCATAATAACATCTCTCTTGTCATTGTTCCTATTTCACTGAAATGAAAAGCCTGCATCTGCTTCTAGTTACTGACTGCAAGTAATTCCACTTTAATACACTGCTCCCAGTTGGAAAAAAACAGTTTGAGGTATTGGTATCAAGGGCTACTTTTACTCAAAGTAGAATGAGCATGAGGATGTGGCACGGTTTTGCTCAGTCAATTTATTTAAACTATAGACCATAACAAAATCGCAGTATTATTTTAAAATATCCAAGATTATAAAACTTTATTAATCATAGCCCTGAATAACTTGACATAATTTTAAATATTTAAAATCGTACCCTGTGGAACGATATACCCATAGAGATCCGGACCCTTCCCACTCTCTCGACCTTCCGAAAAGCCACTAAAACCTGGCTATTCCAGCAGGCCTGGGGCTGTTGACCTCATGAATGAGGTCCAGCACCACTCAGATTGAGTGTATGGTGAGTCGTTTTTAAATTGTTTCTCTTTTTTCTATTTTTAAATTGTTTCTCTTTTCCTATTTTTAACTCCTTATTTTAATCTTGTTTCTGTAAGTCGCCCGGAGTCCTACGAGATTGGGCGGCATATAAATTTATTAAAAGTTAAAGTTAAAGTTATTTAAAATATGACCCTACATAAATTTAAATAAAATTGCTTCATTATCCTAATAGCACTAGTTAGAAATTTAAATACCACTAAAATCTGATTAACTAAACATTGCTTAGGGTTGTACCTTCATAGTAAATGTTAATAATAATTAATATCTCTAAAATCTATTTCTTCATGGTTTGAGTCCTCACAGAAAAATACCAATCCCAGTGAAACTTCCATATTCTTGTTACTAGTTATACAACCGAAGCTTAAAAAGCAAATATTTTAGTGGCTGCTTCTCAACATAGAAAGCATTTGAGTAGCTGACACCGAAATGCTTTACTGAAATGTTTCACTTGCAGATTTCAAAGGACCCCAGAGTGCCACAATAATTGCTTATTCAACTAGCCAAATATGCATTTAACATCAGTTTTTCTTTATTCATAAGCAGCCAAATGTTTTATGCTGTCTGAAATGAAGATATTTTCTCTTTATGTGAGTTTTGCATATTATTAAATGGGTACCCCTAAACAAAACTTTCAGGAAAGCAAACCCCATCAAACTTCGGACACATGTTGAAGTAATCATGCATTTCCAGGTGATAATCAATTAATATGAAATCACAGAATAGCAGGTTAATGAGTGTTATCTGGTTGACCCTTGACAGCTAGGGAAGATCTGGTTTGGAAAAGAAATTATGTAAATCTAGCAAAACAAACCTGATAGAACTAAAATAAATATCTTTGTTGGTATCAGTATTGAGATAGAGACAAATTTAGGGGACTGGAGGTCAAAACATATGAAGAATGGTTGCAGGAACAAGGTATATTTAATTTATTGGGGAAAAAAAGGACTAGGGGTGACATGATAGCAGTGTTCCAATATCTCAGGGGCTGCCACAAAGAAGAGAGAGTCAAGCTGTTCTCCAAAGCACCTGAAGGCAGAGCAAGAAGCAATGGGTGGAAACGAATCAAGGAGAGAAGCAACCTAGAACAATTAATCAATGGAACAATTTGCCTCCAGAAGTTGTGAATGCTCCAACACTGGGCATTTTAAAGAAGATGTTGGATAATCATTTGTCTGAAGTGGTGTAGGGTTTCCTGCCTAAGCAGGGTGTTGGACTAGAAGACCTTCAAGGTCCCTTCCAACTTTGTTATTCCATTCTATTCTATTCCATTCTAACAAGTGACGAAAAATAATAGGAAAATGGATCATTCTCTCTTTCTCCTCGTTTGTCACATTGGAATGCAAGTGCAGACAAAGAACCAAAACCAGCATGAGATCAAAAAAGAAAGGAAGAAAAGGTTTTGAATATTTATTGAAGAAAATTATGACAGACAGCATTATTAGATCAAGTAAGCTATTTCTGCTCGAGAAAAAGGATCCTTCTCCCCTCTGTCTGCCAAAAAAGAGGAAATCTTGATGTCTTTAACCTATAGATATTGTTCTTGGATATAGCAAAGTAGAATATAGGAAGTTTGGCAACATTAAGAACGGTGAAAACCTTTTCTTTTTCCTTCCTTCCACTGCTGGGAAAAAGAACATTGCCACCCTCCCCATATACCCCCCTACCCCCAAACCAGACAATTACAAACAGATGAGCAATAGCAATAGTTAGACTTATATACCGCTTCATAGGGCTTTCAGCCCTCTCTAAGCAGTTTACAGAGTCAGCATATTGCCCCCAACAACAATCTGGGTCCTCATTTTTACCCACCTCGGAAGGATGGAAGGCTGAGTCAACCCTGAGCCGGTGAGATTTGAACCGCCAAACTGCTGAACTGCAGTCAGCTGAAGTAGCCTGCAGTGCTGCATTTAACCACTGCACCACCTCGGCTCCTGAGCTTCATTTGTAGCCAACACCCCTAGTCTAACAGCAGGGACTAAAAGCAGTACTCGCTATAGAATTTCCACTTAAAACTCCCATGGAGGCTAACTGTGCATCCATAATGGACAGATACACAACTAAGTTGCTAGGGCTCAGTAGCAGATCAACAAATTCCACCAGGATGGGGACTGAAGCCAGTTTTTAGTCGGAATTGAACACTATCCCTTGGATTTAACTGGAGAGCCTACTTAGCAAGTCAAGATGCTGATGTTGCTTGGATAGAGTACCAGCACTGCCTGCGTGCTTGCTTTCGTGACCCCACAATACTTGCTCAAAGCTCTGTATTTGCAGGGGGAGGGGAGGGCCAGATTCGAATCAGGTTTAAATCTCTAACCTTCTCTAGTCTCCTGAAGAATATAAGGGTATTTACATTCATTTCTTTATCAGTTCTATGGCATTATGCATCCTATCTATTCTATGAGCTGCAGTGGCACAGTGGTTACAGTGCAGTACTGCAGGCTACTTCTGCTGATGGCTGGCTGCCTGCAATTTGGCAATTTAAAACACACCAGGTTCAAGGTTGACTCAACCTTCCATTCCTTCTGAGGTGGGTAAAATGAGGACCCAGATTGTTGGGGGCAATAGTCTGTAAACCACTTAGAGAAGGGCTATAAAACACTATAAAGCAGTATATAAGTCTAAGCGCTATTGCTATTGCTATGCAGTTTCCAAGAAAACAGTTGCATGTTGCATTTTGGTTTGAAAAAGCAATGTAGAGTATGCTTTTCTCTATAAATGGGTATGTTTTTGATTCCTGATGACTGTCTGGACAAGACTGCAGTTTTCTTGGCAAGGTTTTTTTCAGAAGTAGTTTACTGTTTCCTGCTTCCTGCTTCCTAGGGCTTAGAGAGAATGGCTGGCAGAAGGTAACCTAACTGCCTTTGTGCCTAAGGTAGGACCAGAAATCACAGTCTCCTGGTTTCTAACCTGATGCCTTAGCCCAGTGCTTTGTATATTTGTATTTTGTATTTTATTAGTATTTATAGGCCGCCCTTTTCCCTGAGGGGACTCAGGGCGGCTTACATAAAATAAGGA